GCATGGCCCCGCTCACTGTGGTGCCCGGCTGCCCGCACACGCAGCCCCGGTGGCCTCAGCACTGCGAGTCCGGAGTGTGAGGTCCAGCAGACACCAGCTCCCACCGCCTCCCCCTGCAGAGGTCATGCCAGGACTCCACCTGCCAAGGCCCCTCTGTGCTGGCTTCCCACGTGCTGCTGGGGACAGGAGGAGGCCGGCCAGGTTGGCATCAGCCAGCAGAAGCGGTGGCGGAGCTGTGTGCCACTCAGAACTGACCGGTGTAGGCAGGGGGAAAATGCAGCTGAGCCCCTGCTGCTCTATCCGGGTTTGTCCCATCCCTAGCAGCACGAGGGAAGCCAGCACAGGGGGGCCGCTTGTGGGAAGCAGAGCCGCGTGCTGCTCAGGACAGGACAAGCCTGGCTGGAGCGGCAGAGGCTCAGCTTCATTTTCCCCCTGCCTGCACCGGTCAGGCCTGAGTAGCGCATGGCTCCGCCGCTACTTCTGCTGGCCAGCCTCCTCCCATCCCCAGCAGCACTTGGGAATCTGGCTTCAGCTGCATGCTGCTTCAGATGGGACAGACCCACCCAGGTCAGCACCAGCCAGCAGAGGCAGCAGCGGAGCCAGGTGCTGCTCAGGACTAACTGGCGCAGGTAGGGGAAAGTGCAGCTGAGTCCCTGCTGCTCTGGCTGGGCTCATCCTGGCCTGAGCAGCACACAGCTACTCCTCTTCCCACATGCACCATGTCGGCAATGTCAAGCTGACGCAGTGCGTGTGGGAATCCTGTCTTTTCTCCAGCCCTTCAGCAGCCATAAGGAAGCTGCTGAGGGGCTGGAGGAGGGACAAGGGGTAGGAACGAAAGTAAACAGAAAGTAAGTAGCACCACAGGCCTCAGAAAATGCCTTGGCAGGCCACATGTTGGACAAGCCTGATCTACAAGGAGACCTCACAATGTCATGTAGACATATCTGGCTGGCAGTAATGCCCACAAGGAAGAATGAGTAGGGTTACCACACATCCAGATTGTCCCGGATATGTCCTCTTTCTGGGTCCTCCCATCTCCGTCCAGGCAGTTTTTTAAAATATCAACAAATGTCCAGGATTTTGCTCTGCCTCTGCTCAGCACTGAGGTTCTTGCTGGGGCAGGCTGGAAAGGGCCAGGAAGGAGCTGCTTGGGGTGGGGGGTGCAGGGGAGGGTGATTGAGGGTAAGGGCATCATGTGCATCTACTCATGCATCCCAGCAGTCCAGGCAGCTATGTCTGTGGGGGGCAGGAGTTGGAGGGCCAGGGCTTGGGGGCTGCTGGGGGGCATGTCAGGGGTTGGGTGTGCATGAGGGGCAGGTGCCTGCCAGCACAGAGGGAATCTGTCTGGGTGCTGGGGCTGCGGCAGGCCGGGAAGGTAGGAGAAGTGCCTGCCCCTCCACAGGGACAAGGGGATAGGGGGTTCTTCAGGGGCAGCAGGGAGCCATGGGCAGCAGGGCTGGGGGGTAGGGAGCTTTGGGTTGGGAGTGAGGGGCATCAGCAGGGCTGGTGAGGCTGTGGCTTGGGAGTGAGGGGCAGGGGTAGGGCACAGGCATATCACTGCCTCCCCCACAATCATATTACACTCTCCCCGAACAGGTCTTCTCTTTTTTGAAACTGGAAATATGGTAACTCTAAGAATGAGAGCATGACAACTGGGCAACTATAATTCCTGTGAGTTACCTTGAGATCTCAGGAGGATGTAAAAATTAACATTGACCCCAAACTAAATGTTTAATTTCAGGAATGCTTCTTTTAGACAAAACGTGCATTTTTTTGATGATTCACAATCTATATCTTTTTTTGCATTCCATGAAAGCTTTTGATATTTCAGCTGTTCATCCTGCTTTGAGTGACAAATCACAAAATTTGGGGAACTTCCATTTTGGTAGTTATCTCTGTTGCTTACTGATCCCTTAAAATACTGCTTTCAGGCTCAAAACAGTACTGATGCTCTCATCTCCAGCTGAAAAAGAGACTCTTATATGTACTGCATTTCCATAGAGAAAATGTCACATTGTTAGGTTTGTGCAACATGCTATTCATTGCATAACACATTCAATAGGTTAGCCATTCTGGCATTGGCAATCCTGCCAGGTGCTGATCACCTCCCTAGAGGACCAAGTACTCTCACTTCCTATAAAGGCCAGTTTCAAGGCAGAACTCAGGATCTTGAAGGATAAGGGCTAAGAATTAATTATTTTGAATACCTTTCCCAAGATAAATGCAAATACACAGACTAAACCCTTAGTCAACAGTGCTCAGAAAACATGTTGTCTCTTTCTGTCTGCCCTTTATTTACTATTCTTTCATCTAATTATTGTCCAGCATTCACATTCATCCAGCACCAGTTTTATTCCCAGAGAGTAAACAGAGGATGGTTGATACAGAAATAATGTCGAATTTCACTTACTCAGCATTCTGATACACTTCAACTGAGATATTAAGTCCTTCTAATTCCTCCTTTAATATCTGCAGGTCGGAGTTTACAAAACTCAGTTCAAGAAGTACCTGCTCCCGAACTTTGTTGTTGGTGGTTACTCTGCAAAGAGAAATAATTCATTTCTGTGACTTCCTTGAGAATAGGCTCTGTATTGTACATCACTTCTGTTGAGCCCCCTAACTGACATTCCCAGCATTTCTAAGATTTTTTTTTTTCTTAAGAGATGATGTGAGAACTCATATTTCAGAATTTGTTTGGTTTGTTGCCAAGACAGAACCTGGAATAGTTTTTAGCTAGAAACATGCAGACACATGGCAGGTTTGCTACATGCTTGATGTTTTTAGACTGATTTTTAAGATTTAAATTTATTATGACAAAGCACAAAAGTGAACCAGGAAAATGTACATCTTCAACATGTTCTTAAAATAGAAAACTAGGGCTGATGATGAGGGCTTCTAAAATTAACTGTAAAGGAAAAGATACGTCTTGGTTTTATCAAAAGCAAAGCTCTCCCTTTCTTTCACAAGACACCTCATTAATCATCCATTGTGATTTCTGATAGTACAATTTTTTTAACAAACACTTTCCCTCCACATTAGAAAAGTTATATGATTTCCCTTTAGTTTTATTTTCCTAATAAGCTTAAGATATTTTTTCATTCCATTTGTAATTCATATATATATAAAAAATATGCAACATCCTTTTCTACCACTAGCACAGCAGATGTATCATTTAAAAATAATCCCACAAGCATTTCTGCGTGTGTTCTTATCTGATTATTTCTGGGCGTAACTGTACTATCACCTTCTTCTAGCATGAATCATACACATTCAACACAATACTGGCTTATATCTAGAAACCTCATGAAGGTATCTATCATAAGTGCTGCTTAAAGATAAACAATGTGCTGGCAACACAAAAGTATTTTATGAAGTATGAAAAATGTTTATTTGCATTTGAATTGACACTCTCTTTAACTTAGGTGCACAGAACCAAATAGTCAGTTGAATAATTAACAAGCACAGTTGTATGACCGGCATTGCAACTTAGGACATGCTTGCTACAGTTCTCCATGAAAGTATGAATGTCTTATTATGAGCTGTGTGGCAGAAGGCCACCTCTGTTTCTCCCCAAAAACTCTGCTCTGTGATGATTTGGTTAGGATGGGCCCTGCAGAGGGTACACACCCTATCCTATCTCTTTAGGCAACCTGAGCTGGATACATTCCTGAGGGAGGGGGGAAACCTGCTTCCTCTGCCTATGTGACTGGCATCACATATCTGGGTGAGGGGCTTGGGCTCCCTGGTGGGCTAGAGACTACCAGTCTGCCCAGCAACCAGTCATGCATTTCAAATTGGTTGGCTGACAGCCAGCGGGTGCTGGCCTCCATTGGACCAGGTAAACGAGGTCACAAGGTCTATATAAGTTAAGTACTGCCCATGGGGAAGGGGCAGCAGCCATGAGGAAGACTCAGAGAGAGAGAAGAGCTGGACCATCTGAAACGTGGTCTCTCTCTCAAAACTCATGATCAAGGAACTGCCTGCCTCCAGAGGGAATCTCCACCTGCCTCTGGATCATACTTGTGAGTAAGTTACCTGAGATCTAACTAGATATATCGCTTGCAATAACTCGGATACGTGATCAAAGGCTACTCCAGCCACCCTGTTTGCTCTATGGGATTTCTCTGATACTACTCAACTCTGTACCCTATTCCAACCCTACTCCTTATAACCAATAAAGTTCTCCTTTGTACCTAGTGCAGGAGACTTACTGGGAGTGGGTCTAGATTATGCCTTGGAGTCCCCTTGGTTCGGCTGACAAAGGGAGACCAGTACTTGTGCTTCCGAGTGAGGGAAGCACCCCAAGTTCTTGAAGTGAGTCAAGTACCCTCAAGGGCTACTAGGCCTGTGTTTCCCAGGGGGCACAGTGCCAGAATCAAGCCCATCCCTGGGTGGTGGCAGCTCTACCCCC